GCCCTACTTATATAGGTAATCTCTTATTAAGAGTACTCATCATAACCTACTTGGATAGTACAAGATATATGAATCATTAAAAGTATAATTTAACCTTCTGCAGATAGCATTTTTTTAAAATTATAGTAATAGCTAGGAGTTAATTCCAAGTGCTCATTGAATCTTCATAACATAGTGGTTTCATTGAATTAAGATCTTGTGATCTCTAGTCAACAAGGTTAGGTTATCATTACAAATACTCTATTGTAATAGGCATTAATCTCATTCCTTTCGGAATGCAATATATTTGATCTCTCGATAAGCCTTTTGTAAGCGGATTCACGATGTTTTCCTTTGATTTCACATAATCAATGGAACGAGTACCATTTGAGATCAAATGCTTTAATGTCTATGAAGTACATGTCAAGACATAACATTTTGATCTGTATCATAATAATTTATTCAATACATACAAATAGTCGCCAACTATGGAATCCTCCCATAAAGGCATCAAGCTACATGCTTTTATCTAGCCTTATCCAATCTATACCTTGTTCAATCCATACTACATTTGGAGGATTTATAGCACATCACAGTGTTGGCCCTAGTAAACAACTTTACTAGTGTATTTTGAAACATTTGATATTTGGTACATAATTTATCCATTGTCAATTACATTGCAATTCAACTTATAAATATTATCAAAATATTCTAATACCATTATTGTACATCTAATACAAGTGCAATAATCGATTTTCCAATAAAATCCACCTTTAGGCCGCTTTTGTGAATTTACAATCATAGACTTCTTTCTATGACTTATAAGGTATACAAAACTTTTGTGTAATAAATCATTCCCACAAATCCTCAATTAGGAATGTTTGCTAGATGTAACATTGCCCTCAAAACACATGGTTAGATACTTAGATTCGATCTTAACCACAAAATCAATAACTTAATAATTTGATTCTTTCGCTTGGCAATTCCATTAGTTTTGTAAACTGTTTCAAGTATTGAACATGTTCAATCTGAATTGACCTCATCTTAATACCAATTGGGATATGTGCGCCAATACAATAGTAGTTCAATATTATTTAGAATTATCTTTGCAAACAATTGGCCTCCCTTCGACAATCCATAATTAACTATTTGAGGTTTGTTAATTCAAGGATTTCAACTATATCTCAATTTGCATTCTCTTGTTAGAACAAATTTCTTCTAAGAAGGTTTGTACAATCTTTGCAGCCCGTAGTTCTTATCCTTTGCAAATGAATGTCATTTTGCAATCATCAACCTAAAAGATATCCAGACCCACTGCTAGATATATTCACCATCTATGCCTTGTAGAAAATATTTCAGTATCCAATAATTGGACAAGCTATTTCCACTCGATTTAGCATCATATAATTTGTCATCAAAATTTATTTATAGACTTGACCCCAAACTAGGCCATTTAGACCAAAAGGTCTGTTCGAAATTCAAACCCTTGTGTAGGTACATAGTGGAAAGAAATCCCATTTAACCATATAGGAAGGCATCAAAATATGCTCCTTATGTGAGTAATATATTCAAATATTCTCCAAAAAAATGAACATGCAATTTCCTCCGTGCACATGCATTTGATTCAAAATAGAATAAACCTTTGCATGCACCGATTAGTGAATATCAAAGAAATTCACAACTCAAATAATCTCATATATTTTAGCGTGTCCATGAATTTTCACATTAAGAGACAAGCAATTTTCTATTGAACAGATGTACCATTCAATAGGAAAAATGAACAGATGCATGAACCGATTCAATGCAAAACCATATGCACAAAAATATTTATTAATAGGCACCATTTCACTTTTCTGTCATGAGGCTCATGATCATTCATTGAGACTATCAAATATGTATTACCACTTCATTAAATATACATCACTGAGTGAACAGACACACCTCATGAAAATCATACACTTTCATATACACACACACACACAATCCTTGTGCCAAAAAATTTGGAAGTAAGTTTCAGTAGATTTAAATCATGCACATTTCAACCATTTAAAGAATATAGAATGATGAAGTACGCAACTTAATTATGAAATATAAAATGCACGAGATCATCGTCTTAAGATTATTGGAAGAATAAATTATATTCAAATAAACATACCTTTTACATGCATAAAAATCAAACAAAAATTCGACTTACCGAAACCTAATACATAAAGTAGAACGAGAAACGGATGGATATGAATTTGGCCGAGTCAAAAGTTCAACTCTTTTTTCTTACGACGATAATGCTCCGCATGGGTGCTAACAGTCCCAAAATACAACCATCACATCTCATAATAAGAGCACTTCAAATTATGTAGACCAACAAACCTACTTATATTTTGAACCCTCGTTATATGAAACTTGACTCTAATTAAATGCAAAATTTTGAAGTGAATAAGCATTAGTATAATAATGTAATCATGAAGTGAATGAAAACAAAAACATGGGGTCTATATATAGATGTTAAAAATGTTTGTCTCAAAGAACACAATCTATGGAAGAGACATAACCATTGAAATTAGTCTTTATATTTGAAGAGACATGTCTATTGAAAAATAATATGTTAAAAGTCTCAATCTTTCATATAGGAAGGTACACATTTTCAGCCAAATAATTTCTTTCAAGTATTTAAGTGACTTAAATTTAGCTTAATTTTTCATTTATCAAATAACAATTTCCAATTAAATAATTAAGAATTGATATAAACCAATTTCATATATAAATTTCTAACACCTCCGAGGGTTGGTGATATTTTTAGTGTAAGGGTTGTAACATCCAGATAAAGATTCATGGGTAGTAGCATTGGCAGACCTATTCAGGGAGCCAAAAATTAGAATGGAAAAAAATTCATAATTAAGAGATTAATTATCACCCATTTTAAAATTAAGAACAAATGTTTCAAATTTTAAAAATCAAATATTTATTAAAATTTATTTATATTTAATTAATGAATTATATATTTTACTAATTAAATATATTAAGGTCACAGTAATATACAATTTGATCACAAATTAACAATTTAGTTCGCCACAAATCAGAATTTTTATGTCACTCATTATTTAACAGTCACAATTCAAAAATTTTATAGGTCATAGTTTGTTTATTAGTCACAAATCAAAAATTTATGAATCACAATTTATTTATCGATCACAAATCACAAATATTATAAGACATGATTTATTATACAATCACGTATTAACAATTTTTTAGATCACGCATTATTTCTTGGTCACAATTTATCTTTTTTATTGGTCACATTGTGTTTATTGGTCACTGATTAACCAACTTAATGGTCACAGTCAATTAAATAATTTGTGACCACCACCAACACACGCGACAACCATCTCACCACTACCTCTAGTAGCAGCAGCATCGTCTTCGCCAGAACCACCACCAACACCACCACAAAAATACCACTATCGCCCCGCCACCGCAACGTCTGCACCACAACTATTTGTGACTACCACCGCCAACACCACCCCCAACTATAAACATTGCTACAATTTGCAAACCAGCACATTACTGCCACTACTTCAACTCCAACCACAGCTGCACCACCACCACTCAACAAGCAATGCACCACTATCATCCCATGACCACCACCATCTATATCACCCATCGTACCCGAACCAGCATCATCGTCGCACACAAAACAGCACATACATATCACCACTGCACACCACCGTACCACCACAAATTTTATCTTTTTTTTTTCGTCACACACACAAATCACCACTGTACAGCGGTGTAGCAACCCTCATAGTATCATAGCCACTCACATCACTCCCCAAGCAGCAAACCAACCTTTATGTAGTTGGACAGCTTAATTTTGGTTTAGCTTCTTTGGAAATATATTTGTGAATTGTCATTTATCAATTATCATAATGCTGAGATTATTTTGTTATTTGTGATATTCAGCCCTTGTTTGAGCCTCATTCTTTTGAAAAAAATGCATTTTCCAATAGTG